ATAAGATATATATTGTGGCTATTGTAGTGAAGTTTCAGGCTCTTGGAGAGTACAGACACTTTTTTCCTCCTCTCCTCCTATCTTATCCCTAAGGCTCTTTGTCTGTCTTTGGGTGTACGGCGCTTCTACATTTTTTCTGGAAACTGGAAATTATTAAAAATGGACCTGGTCAGCTGTTCTCTCAATGCGATTGACAAAATTTTCTCAACGATGAGAACGGGAGAAGGGGCTCCCGGGTGCCCCTCTGGGACAGATCCAGTTGGGCATATCATGGACTCCTGGAAACAGTGGAACTTGATCTGCCTCTCCCAAATGTCTGTAGAGGATTCTGAAGACGTATGGACATTCGTGGTGTTGGTGTCAGGTTTCCTGCTTTTTGGCCTGGGAGGTTACCTGGTTTACCGGAAAAATAACGAGCTGTCGAGGAATATTGGCTCTTTCCCCAAGCTCAGGGATGGATTACACCGCGCTGTGAATGCACAGACTCATATAATTGTCGAGATGAGTTGTAAGCTTGGAACTTTGGCTGAGATTCATACATTGACAGAAAAGATTGATGCGACCAAGGAACGAGTGGACGTATCAGCACGGATTGGGATTGATTAATTTACGCCATTATTGGATTTTCAGAGGTTGAGGACCAGCTGAACTTTAAGACAGAGAAGAAATTATCTCTGTCTGGCCCCAAAACAATTTCTTATCTGAATCTGGTGCCCTTGAGCCTCTGAGGCTGAAACGAATACCCCCCCCCCCACCCCCACCCCACCCCCACCCCCCGAATTGGGAGTTAAGAATCTGGTAGGGGTTGACTTGCTCTTTAAGGTTTATTTGTTTATTTAAGGATCCCCATTAGTCGTCACCATAGTGAAGACTATTCTTCCTGGGGTCCGCATCATTAAAAACATTTACAATAGTACATATGCAGTGTAAGAAAAAGAACATACAAAACATTCAAACAAACATCTCCATTAATAAGAAAATTCAGCAAAGATAAAAATCATTCAAACACGAAAATATACCAACCCTACCCCCCAACAGGCCAGTTAATAACTATAGAAAACTAATTAAAAACCCACATCAGTCATTTAGTTTTAAATTGTTATGTATGACCAAAGTCTTAAGAATTTTTTTGAGTGCGACTCGGGTTGCAAATGACCACAGTCACCAATTCTTGTCATGTGTCTTGCCTATGTATGTCTGATCTCAGAATTGTGTGTACTGAAACTCTAATTTCCCTCTGGGATTAATAAAATATCTTCTGATTTGAATTGAATTTTCTAATAGTTATCCTTTTTTCATCATATGGAGCCTAAGTCTCCTTCCCTTCCGGTTGGCTTATGGGTCCGTGGAAGAAAGAAAAAATGAAAGCAAGTCAACAGGGTTAAAAGAGCTATTTTCTACTTTGCTTTGCCTTACGGCCTGGATGGTGTACTGCAATTTAAATGAATACTAATGATGGGTGTTTTGACCATGCCAGTCACATACTTTGAGATTTATCAGCTTGTAAAAGTTTGTAATTAGAAAGACTACATATCAGACATCGGCACATCACATATGTGGCATCACCACATAATCTCCTCTCCCTAAGCATACCTGCTACTTAAAGAGCTAGTCACCCCCTACCAGAGTATTACTCCACTCTCACTTCCTGTTTGAAAAATGCAACAAATGCTGTTGCCTAGCAGACTGAGAGGGCTGAGCCGCTAACAAATACACACACACACACACACACACACACACACACACACACACACACACACACACACACACACACACACACACAGGCTCGCAACAACATTGTGACATCATATCGTACCATCTAACATTCTAGGGTACCTCTTAGCCAATAGCGATGGCAGTTTTAAATTCAAATTCTGTGCAGAGTTTTTACCTGACAATGGCACAACACTGACAGTTTTAGGCAGAAAATGAAAATTTTAACAAAAATGCACTAAAGGGCAAAACTATTGACTGCACGTGTCTGCAGCCCGTTTAGACACGCATTTATATAGTTTATCAGGAAAAAAATTTGATTTCGGGGTGACTTGCTCTTTAACAAATGTCCAGATTCATGGTGTTTTTTCCTCCTGAAGGAAGGATATTAAGTTCGCTATCTTACAGCCATTTTCCCTGTTTTTTTCCTTGTCTGGTTCGATGACGTCACTTTTGTGATGCGCATTTGTAGTCCTAGACTTATTTTTACACAAAACCTAAAATAACATTTCCCCCATTCAAAAATAAGCACTTTCTTGGTATCAAAATGCGTGTTTAAAATTGGTCGACATCATATGTGAAATCCATGGAACATAACAAGCGGAATTAGAAAATAGCGTTTTTAGCCTCTTTGATTTGCATAAATTTTTTTGTTCTTCCGGTGGTCTGGAAGTAGATGGGCGTGGCTTAGGCTCCCTATAGATTAAATGAAAATAAAAAGATGATTTAAGTATAATATTTTGATAACAGATTTGCTTCATAATGAATTAGCTTCCTTTCTTTTGAAAGTGTTAGTGACAAACAGATGGACAGACAAAAGATGTAATCTGTAACATTAGGCTTTCTACTTGGGTTAAAGGACAGTTACGTAGCCTAGAAATCTTAACAGTCTCTAAAAGATGTAGCTCTGCAGGTTGGTCTAGCCATGCTACACTGTTCCCCAGCAGGTCTACCACCGGGCTGACCAATTTTGTGTCTTGCCAATCAAAGCACTCTGTTGGGTGAGCTTAACACTGTCACGGTCTGCCCTGCTCACTATTCCTTTCACTTAATACACTGCAGTTGTCCAAGTTCTGTGTTAACAGGTGGGCGTGTCGGAGAGCCAGCTGTTCCTGATCTCCCTGGTCAGAGGGCCAGGGGTACTAAAGGAGCGGTGTGACACAACTCCAGTGCCAGTTGATACTCGCATCTTGGGTAAACACTAGCCAGTCGCAGTTTAGTTTGATGTTCAGTTTTAATCTTGTCTGCCCGTTTCAGTTCAGCCCCGATCTACCGAGTCCTGAAGGTTCCTGCTCGTCTGTTCTCAGGAATTCTCCACCGCCGTCTGGAGTTGTTGTTCCAACATCACGTCGCTCACCGTCCGCCTGGTCTCCTCACTCTCCGCCGCCCACCTGTCGTCCTGCCCGCTTCCCAGCCTGCCTAACCACCAGCCTCCGGACCTGCACCATAACCTGCCTCACTGTCTGCCTCGCAACCTGTTTCCTCATCCCGTCCTGGATCATCATTCTCTGCTGCTTGTCTGTCCCCACCTGGCCCCAAAGACCCAGCCCTGCCTCGCCAAGACCGATCATCTGCAGTAAGAATAGCTCTCCAAACAATTCCAGTTCTGGTTCTCTGGTTCCAGGGTTTCGTGATTCTAACACCAGTTTGCTTTCCCGTTCTAGATCTCGGTCCCTCCTGCTCCCGTTTGGAGCAGCGTTTTCAGTTTCACACCGTTCTTAATAAATATTATTTGTTATTTACTTACCATCGTTTCCGTCTGTGATTCTTTCATGTCCTGGGTAAAACATATTCCCAACAGGACAAACACTAGGACTGTGATGGACAAAAACTACAAAAATGGCATTGGCTCAGGAATGGTGTCAACTTGATGCTAACTTTGGAAGGTTTTGATTTGGGATATTCTTTGAGACGTGAGGAGATAGAGGTACTTAAATAATTTAATTTAAAAATGTATTTCTTTGCTTTCTAACGGTGTATGGCAGACTGCCCCGTTGACTTTATGCCATAGTGATAAATGTGTCATGTTGCTCCGATTAGTTGTCACGCTGTCCAATTACATGCAGAAAAAAAGAAAACCCTAGATTCCACACCACAACGTTCTGTGGCCAGAGCCAGACTATACATCCTATACATACACTATACATTCTAACTAGATCCCCAAGCCATCTCAACTGGCTCCTCTCGATGTGGAGGAGCAGCAGATCTACTCCAAGCCCCTCCTGGAGGACCAAGCTTCTCACCCTTTCTCTAAGGGAGAGCCCAGCCACCCTTCAGAAAACTAACTTCAGCCACTCGTATCCGCGACCTCGTTCTTTCGGTCACTTAAGCTCATGACCATAGGTGAGGGTAGGAAAGTAGCTCGACCGGTAAACTGAGAGCTTTGCCTTCTGGCTCAGCTCTCTCTTCACCACAACAGACCTGCACAATAACCGCATCACTGCGGATACAGCTCCATTCTCCTTTTCAATCTACGTATGCATTTTTCCATCACTCATGAACAGGAACTGAGACACTAAAACTCCTCCACTTGGGACAAGACCTCGTCCCTGACCTGGAGAAGACATTCTACCCTTTTCCGACTCAAGACCGTGGTCTCGGATTTAGAGGAGCTGATTCTCATCCCGGCTGCTTCACACTCGGCTGCGAACCGCTCCAGTGAGAGCTGGAGATCACGTTCTGATGAAGCCAACAGGACCACATCGTCTGCAAAGAGAGTAAAAAAATCTACTCAGGAGCAGAGCTGACTGTGCAAGTGTGCATAAGCAGTTCCACGCATGTAACCTCACTGGCGTGCGAGAGGACCTTTTTTCTCTGTTTGACTGGATACATTCTCCTCGCGGGTTGATAAAACACAAACGAGGAGTTTATTGGTGTGAATGTGAGATAAATACTGCATGCGAGGTGAGAAATTATCCTCTCGCGTATTGTGAATTATCCTTTTGTGATTGTGCATCCTCTCCCAAGATTTCATCGTTTATAAAAGAGGCCCCGTGATAAAAAGCTCCTTAGTCACAAAATAGGAAAATCAGACGTCAGGAATTTTTGCAGCCTAAATGGAAACTGAAGGGTTCAGAAGAATCTCTGATGTTATCTTGGCTCCATAATGGAGTAAAGTAACCTTTGAGATGTAGCTAGAGATGGTTTTTCATAGAAAACCATTTAACTGGTTTCAGAATAACTCTGATTTGAAAAATATACAGCACCATTCACCAATATAAATATGTTTAGCAATGCTTTTGGTTTGACAAGAAAGTGAAAGAAAAGCCAGATGTCATTATGAAGAGTACAGTGCAAAGTAATTCAATTTAATTTCAGCACACCTGAGGTGTTTGAATCTAAAGCCAAAAAAAAAAATGTTAATGTAAAATCCACAATTTTTCCCAGCAATCAAAGTTTTGTCAAAAAAAATCAACAAAAAAACAAAAACAAAAATAAACAGAAGTTAGTGCTTGTGACAAATCTGTAGTATCCTCCTCCTCCAGCTGTTACAGTCAGAAGGCTCAGTGTGTTTTCATGCAGACGCCTTGGGGTTGTTCCTGTTAAACAGAAAGATCATCCGCCCGGGTTCTGCTGCTCGTTCCGCTGGTTTTACTGAATCTTCTTTTGTCCTTCACTAGCAGCCCATCTGGACCACCGTTATGGGTGACGTGATCTGGAAGGCTGTAGCAGTTAGGATCAGACCTCAGGTATGCACCTTCTGGTATCTGATTATCTGTGGCGCTCTGCCATGTGGACGAGTAGCAGCTCATGTGAAGGAAGCTGGCCTCCTCCACTGCAGCAGCTATCTTGTTCTTTTCTGTGACCATGTTCTCCGAGTTCTGCTGGGTGGCCAGCCGGTGGCTGGGGAAAGGGAGCTGTAGGAAGGGAGAGGACCCAGTCACACACTGGTTGAAATCTGGAGGAGGGGTAGATGGCCGAGGTGCAGACATGGAAAGCTGTCGGGCCATGGAGGTGTTGGCTGGAGGTACCTCCTTTGTAGAGAAGAAAAAATGCCTGCAAAACAAAGTTTAAACCAGCTCGGTCAAACATTTCACCCGAAAATATTCAAAATTGTATCCATTTTATCATTCCTTTTTACTCCACCGGGGCAGGCTACTCCTCGAGGGATACTATCCAGCATGTTTCAGTTGTTTCCCTGCTCCAACACACCTGATTCAGTGGTTGAATTACCTGTTCAGTGTGTCATCAAGCTCTGCAGAAGCCTGCTAATCACGATTTGATTCGATTTTATGTCAGGGTTCTATGATTTGATTATTAAACAGTGATGTTTTTTTAATCTGCATTCAGGAATTATTCTCACATTGTAGCTTTTTCATACTTTCACATTAATTCAGTAAACATCCATTCAAGTTATCAAACACCTTTTATTCCACTATCGTGTATTCATGTAAAACAAAGCTCATACCAGAACCGTGAGCTGGCGATAGCTACATAACACACAGATAAATAAATAAAATACGTATTCGCTGTATCAAAACATTTCAAATAATCAAAATGCCTGTTTTAAAAAAAATTCTTTTAAAGGTACAAAAAAGGTTTGATGTATTAAAGCTCACGCTCTTAGAAGATCAAAGTGCCTGATAAACCTTTTAACCAACCTACGTAGCAGTTGGCACCAATTCCAGCCGTCCTATTGCAAAAACAATTGTTTTTGTGTTGTTTTCACACACACACACACACACACACACACACACACACACACACACACACACACACACACACACACACACACACACACACACACACAGATCTACACACTTTCACACTGCACACACATTCATGGACTCATTCATCTTGATTGGCGAGACAGGGAAGGCAATTGTTGGTTTAGCGTCCATGAAACTGCAGAGAACATCTCAGTGAGTAGAAGCTAGCGTTAGCATTAGCAACTCCACCACATGGCAGAACTTCATCAGCCTATAGTGTTATTTGTGGAGATAAAACATCACTGTGCAGAGCAGGTGATGAGTCGTTGCTAAGTGCAACATGACTCTGCCACTGACTCCGTCAGAGGTAAAATCTGAATGTCATGAACAATGAGTGAGAAACCAAACCCTGCCTTTTTCTGCCCCCCACTCCTCTGGCTAACTTCTAGATTCTGAAACAGGAGCACCATGCTTTATTCCCACAGGAAACGACTCTCAAGACATTCATTTATATCAAATCCACAGGCAACAGCAAATGAGCAAATCAGAGCTTTAAAGAGTCTTTAGTGTGAATAATATGTGCATTTGGTTTTCTAAATTTTAAAGGTTTCTCTGGTCAACTCATCTGATTTGCATCAGTAGCTGAGTAACGGGCTTCTGCAGAGCTTGGCGACCTGCTGAGCTGGTAATCGAATCAGGTGTGCGGTAGCAGAAAAACGACTAACACATGCTGGATGTTGGCCCTTGAGGAGCAGAGTTGCTTACCCTTGCAACACCACAGAAAACTTTGATTAAAGCATCTTTTATCATTTTAAAAGGAGTCTCAGTGCATTTCTTAACTGGCCTCTGCCCTTTTAAAAACTTCTAAATCCATTTTATCAGGATCTTTCAGAAAGCAGCAACATTTTCATTAATAAAATTTACGTAAATGGTGCCCCTTCTGTTAGCTCTGTTTGGGATCCTATCCTGCTTTTGTTCGATGTTTCTATTTAAGACAGATTATCAGCTGTTTGACCAACATTTTCAAGTTTTGCAAATCATCAAACTTTCTTTTTGATGGACATGAAAAGAAAATCTGTAGGTCTCCATTTCTTCCATCAGACGTGTGCCTGCTGTTGCCAAAGACAGCTTTATGACCAAAGATTAGGATTATAGTCTCCTACCTGCAGCAGTGTCTCCATGCTAGATGATAGAGCTCAAGCACGCTGAGCACCAGTGAGACGGCCGACACGGCCAACATGAAGACGATGAAGACGTTTTTCTCTGTTGGTCTGGAGACATAACAGTTCACTGGATGTGGGCATGGCCATGCCTGAGAGAAAGGATGAGGCACAGTAATTACAGGCACACGTAGAAAGACTTAAAAAGTAAATAAATGAAAAAGTCAGTTTTTACCTTGCAGACATAGAGAGGATTGAGAAAAACTCCATACAGGAAGTACTGGAGACACAGAAACACTACCTGGATGGGAGACAGGTGGCATCAAGGTTTATTTATTTGGTAGCAATATGCTGATGTGATGTCACGTGAAAATTGACAGTAACGTAGATTTACCTCCATGATGCTGCGAATCAGTATACTCAGTATGTAGGTCTTCAACAGAGCTCCTCTCAGTCGAATTCGACCAGCAGCCGAACCTTCAAACTTTTCCTGTTCCTCATCTTTCTCTTCATTCTTCCCATGTCTGTGTCCTCCTCCTGGATCTTCCTCCTCTCCCCCATCTTCATCATCTTCCTCTCTGCTCCTTCTTCTCTCCTTTCTGCGAACAGTGTGCATGGCGTGGCCCATGTATATCAGACTCGGAGTGGACACAAACACTATTTGGAGCACCTGAGGAGATATCAGACAGATCTACAACTAAGAACATTTTCAATATGTGTTGAAGAAACTAGGAATGAAAGAATCAGCTGCTGAAATCTTAAGTTTACATTGGTTTGATTTTGCTCAAGCTAATCTAGCAACAGTTTGACAAGGAACTTGTGAAATCTGTCATCCTACTGATGCTGACAAACATGCCAGCACATGTATTTAAACCTGGTAATGTAAAATGAAATCTGCTGTTTTCTGGTTACTGGGTTTCTATACAGTAAACAGCAATGGTATGTTTCTACAAAAGCATTCATGTCATAGATTAATAAAGGACTTTAACATTGTTCTAAACAAATTTGTCATTGCAATTACACTGCCTGGCCAAAAAAAAGTCACCACCTGGATTTAAATAAGCAAACAGGTAGGAGCTTCCTATTGGATAATTACTGCATGAGTGATTCTCTTTCAGCTACAAGTTAGTGAACTCCAACTGGTGCAATGAGGTGCTTCTCATTTCTTAAGCAACCAAGGGTCAGATCATTGGCATCAAGCAGAGAAAACATCTAAGGAGATGCAGAAACGACTAAACTTGGGTTAAGAACTGTCCAACGCATTATTAAAAACTGGTCTGATGAGTCCAGATGGACCCTGTTCCAGAGTAATGGTGCATCAGGGTAAGAAGAGAGGCAGATGAAGTGATGGACCCATCATGCCTAGTACCTACTGTACAAGCCTGTGGGGGCAGTGCTACAATCTGAGGCTGCTGCAGTTGGTCAGGTCTAGGTTCAGCAACAGGATGTGCTTCAAGAATGAGGTCAGCTGACTACCAGAATATATTGAATGACCAGGTTATTCCATCTTCCCTGATGGCACGGGTATGTTCCAAGAAGATAATGCCAGAATTCATTGGGCTCAGATAGTGAAAGAGTGGTTCAGGGAGCATGACGCCGATTTCACACTGGAAGCACCAGCAGCGCGAAACGGCAGCAGACGGAGAGTCTTGGCAGCGGCGCGGCTTCCTCGCTGTGCTCTTCGCTGGACTTACGAGATCACACAATCCCTCGAGACTTCAGGTCACGGATTGTTTATGTAATCCGCCATTAAAACCAAAAGAAGAAAATCACGTTTGATATTGCTGCTTGTCATGGTCTGTGTCTGTCTCTTTGTGTTCCTCATGTGTCCCCTGGTCTTCAGCCGTCCAGATATATCTCTCAGGTCCTGTGTTCCTTTAGTCTTCTCCAGTCACCCCTCTGCTGTTTATAGTTTCAGCTTTTCATTGTATTAGTCTCTTTTATATGTTTTGTCCCACCAGTCTTTGTAGTTCTCCTTCCATTTAGAATGTTAGTTACTGTATGTGGTTGCTTTTCTTGTTTTTAGGTTTTACTCTTAGGTCATGTGAGTTCCCTCCCTGATTAAGTATTGCTTTCACCTGGTCCTCTCCCCACACACCTGCAGCTCATCTGCCTCCCATTATGCCCCAGTGTATATAAGCCCTGTCTTGTCTCAGTGTCTTGTCGGTCCATTGTTGTTTGTCAACGTTGTTTTTGGTGCTCTGTGTGAGCTTTGTGTCTTGTCCCAGGTTTGTGTGCTCTAAGTAAGCTTTAGTTCTAGTTCTCAGCTTTTGTGCTCCATGTGAGCTTTCGGTGTCCTGGATCTCAGGACTTTTGGATTTTTGGCTCGCTGCCTTTTGGATTTACTTTCTTCATCCTGCAATAAAAGGATTTTTACTTTATATCAACTCCTGCCTTTTGTCGTCTGGGTAATCTGCATTTTGGGTCCTAACCATCCCCTCAACATGACACTACTTTGTGTCTAACCCCGGCTTTCCACAGCAGCCGTCAGCAGCACGTTACTGCAGCAGCACGTCATAGCTGCTGATAGGAACGGCTGTGGTCAACAGAACCTTTTCCACAGGAGCCGTCAGCAGCCGTCAGCAGCGCGAGTCGGCCGCGTCTCAGGAGCAGCATGTCGCGGCCTTTACGCGCCGGTTCTATTTCCTACGCGCGACGCCTCTGAAACGGGTCAAGTTCGACATTTTTGGGGAAGGAAAGACAGGAAATCGGACGCGGAAATGGAGAGAAGCTCCCGAGATCTTCAGAATAAAGAACGTACTGCCTTCCGGTCGCTTTGCTTTAAAAAAGGTTACTAACTGTGCGGCCCCGTGAGAAGTTATCACCTAGCTAGCGGTCTCCTTTGTTTTTCAGGTCCGTATTGGCGATTATAAAACGGACAGAATATAAAAACACAAACATTTTGGAGCCATGTTGTAGTTTTCTCCTGCTTGTTGTTGTGTTTACTGACGAAGTCACTCGTGTGACTTCGTGCCCTGTCGGTGACAGCTGCTCCTCTGCTGCGTCGCGTCTCGTGGGAAGGGCCAAGCAGCAGCTAGACGTGCTGCTGCAGTAACGTGCTGCTGACGGCTCCCGTGGAAACCCGGGGTTATATGACGTTGCTCCTCTACACTGCTAGGATTAAAGCCATGAAAAAAAACACAGATGCACTTCTGGAACAATGCTGTCAGTACATAAGCCATTAGGTCACACGTAAGCTTTATACATATGAAATAGCATTGCTGCAGTACTTTTATTTTGAAATTTACCTGTGATTTTACACTGAAACCATATGTGATTTCCTGTCTAGCCCTGCGTTAACTGCGGATATTGACGCATCCCAGACGCGGCACGCGGCAAAATTATGTAGAACCCGATCCTAAGTGCGTTGTGCCGCTTCTGGGACGCGCCTAGAAATTACCGCATCGCTGACTGTGTGAAACACTCCATAGATTATACAGTAATGGAGTCTATTGACGCAGTGACGTTCTGCTGCAATTCCATGCCGCAGATGCTTTCAGTGTGAAACTGGGGTGAGACATCATTTTCACTCATGGATTGGCCACCACAGAGTCCAGACCTTAACCCCATTGAGAACCTTCGGGATGTGCTGGAGAAAGCTTTGTGCAGCGGTCAGACTCTACCATCATCAATGCAAGATCTTGGTGAAACATGAATGCAACAGTGGTTGGAAATAAATCTGGTGACACTGCACAAGCTTATTGAAACAATGCAACGGAGAATGTGTGCCGTAATCAAAGCTAAAGGTGGTTTAATTAAATGTGACCCTTTCTGTTTCGTGTTGACCTGTTTTTGGCCAAGCAGTGTATTGTATCAGTTTGTATTGCATAACACTGTGTCATAACAACTGTATTATGTCCTATTGTACAGGTGTCAAACTCAGGTCTGTGGCCTATTTTTATTTGGTCCATGAGATCAAATATCAAACATATATTAAAACTGCCCCATCGGCTGACTTTGCCGCAAAGACTACACATCCTACAGTGCTTTGTGGTGTTGGCACATCTGTCGAAGTGCCCCCTCCTTTCTGTTTACATTCATTAGCATCCACGCTACTACTTGGCGTCAGATAAACTGAGAACATTCCTCTAACTCAGCGCTGAGTTTGCTCAGCAGTTTGCCGACTTTGAAGCCCAGAAATGGATTTTAACTACTCGGTAATCTGTTCTCGGCTGACATAGAAAGAGCACCAACCAACATCCAGACTGAGATAATTTAACTTCAGTTTAGCGACACGCTCAAGTCAGTGTGACTCTGGCTGCTGTAGTTTTTATCTCTTCTCCCTGACACACTGGCACAACTGCGTGGTCTAGCTGTTCAAATGCTTTCTGTTATGGCCACCAGCCTGTCCACTTTGGATGCAGGAGCCACAATCACCCAGCCCTGGTGATCAGCCATAACACTCCATGTTCAGCAGCACACATCTATGTGAGCAACTGGTGTCTGTGATGAAGATGAACAGAACAACACAGGAGTCTCACTGATGAACTCCTTCCTCAGCTCAGAGCCCAACCCCAGAGAAGCAGGAGTCTGGCTGGAACAGGTGAGCGCAGCAGCAGCAACTAAAGCGAACAAATGGCAGAACAGAGCAGAAGAGTAGCAGAACTGAGGAGACACACAATGTCCTGGATCAATTTTATGAAGCACCTAGGATAAAGAGAAGCCTTCAGTGTCTCAGGGTGGACCACCTGCCACAATTCAGTCTGACACACAGGAGTCCCGTACACAAAAGCACCTCACCGGGCAAGCGGAAGCAGAAGTTGAGCCAAAGCAGAGAGAGCACCAGCACCACCCCAGGCTCTATTTATATCAGCACCTCCACCGGTGACAGGTCCTCCAGTTACTTGGTGGCAGGTGAACTAATCCCACTACATTACATTTTCATTTAAGAGAAATACAGCTTTTTTGTTGTTGGCTTGTGAAATAATATTTAACCTACTTTAAAACAGGAACTGGAAAAACTACAGATAGATGAATAGAATAGAAAATCCATTGGTGTCACATCAGCAATGACATTCATTACAGGAGCAACAAAAGGAGAGCAAGAAAACAAGAATAAAGAGTAACAAGAAAAATACAGAAATACCTAAAACATTCAAAATATTAAAAAAATGCTGTATAATTACACAATTTAAGGAATAAAAATAATAAAACAGACATAAATAATGAATACCGCTGATGTGTGTTTTATTTAAAATTGATTTGCTCGTGTGTAATTTGGTTATTCCACATTCAGTGTTACTGCAAAAATGAGTTGTTTCCAAATGAAAAGGTTCGGCCGTACTTATCTGTAGATAAAGGACAATGTGCACATTTGAGGTCACTTTTTCAAAAAGCATTGAGTTTGGCCCATAACTTCATCCCAGTTTCTCATTTCAGTCCAGCGTGAATTTGAGTTTGACACCCCTGTTCATACCATGTCATATTGCATTAGATAAGATAAGATATGTCTTTGCTTGCCCAGAAAATCATCTCGCTTCACCAATCAGACTGTTTTGAAATAATAAGTTAGCCCTCCCACAATCTTTATGGGTGACCCCGTGAGGAAAGTTGACCATTGAGCAGGATTGATGGTTTATCCCTTGAGGTCCATGTGGCAGGGGTGAGGTGGTGCTCACTCCTCACTCCTGCCACATGGACCCAAGGGATAAATCATCAATCCTGCTCAATGGTCAACTTTCCTCACGGGGTCACACCCATTAGGACAGTGGGAGGGTTAAAGGCAAATAATTAAGTAAAAATTTCAATAATAAGTTAGAAATAAAACAAATAATTTTAAACCAGACTAAAAAAACAACAAAATTGGGAAATACCTTAACATTACAATGTGTTGTTTCATTGTGTCACAACATTGTATCATATTTTATCATGTACTGCACCACATTGTATTGTTTTCAACAGCTTACTTTATTTTACTTTATTTTAATATTCAAATTAGTAGTTTAAAAAACCGGTTCATGATATGTTATCTGATAGCACTTTAATAAAAGCAACACAACTTAAATCATACCAGGTCCTGATTCAGGCTAGTGAACGTTGTTAGATTATAAATGTTAGTTGGTCAAATTTGCACAATAAAAAACAAAAACAGGGGTGTCTAATCCAGGTCCTCTAGAGCCTCTGTCCAGCATGTTTTAGTTAATTCCATGCATCAGCACACCTGATTTGAATCAGTGGTGATTAAAAGGCTTGTGCAGAGCTGCTGAACAAGTGATTAAACCATTTGGTCAGCTGTGTTGGAGCAGGAAAACAACTAAAACATGCTGGTGTGATCCTGAAGGACTAGGGTTGGAGAGCCCTGACATAAGGAACTGAGTCTGAGCAGCACAGCAGAAAGGAAAACTCTATTTTAACAGGACTAAACCAACAGCCTGCTGCCTTAGATGACTGGGGTATGAGAGGAGCAAAGTGAAAGAAAAGCTCAGGAGAAGTCATTTTCCTTCTGTGTCATTTTCCCAGAGCTATTCCCAAAAATGCAAGCTGGAATTATTCCGTAGGTTAAATGAAACAGATTAAACTGTTGTGTCCTTGGGCAAAACACTCTACCCACCTTGCCTGCTGGTGGTGGTCGGAAGGACCAGTGGCACCAGTGCTTGGCAGCCTCGCCTCTGTCAGTGCGCCCCAGGGCAGCTGTAGCTACATTGTAGCTCATCCCCACCAGCGTGTGAATGGGTGAATGACTGGTTGTGTTGTGAAGCGCCTTGGGGGGTTGTAGAACCCTAAGAAGGCGCTATACAAATACAGGCCATTTACCATAAATAATAGGAAATGAAAAAAGTTAAACTGCCTGTAAACATGATCTTCTGTAAGAGGCTCCTCTGGCCTCCACTTGTTGTTATCTGTAAGTCACCAGTTGGAACTCGTTATCAGTATAGACACCTGTCCAAAGGCTAGTTGTTTACTTAAACACATTTTTAAACTGTGATGTTTGTTATGTATGATGTGTGTAAACCACTATTACTGGTGTAGAAAACCAGTCAGTATCTGGTGTAATGTCCAGCAATGGTCAGTTTTTAGGTACTGTTAGACCATTCAACATCTGGTCAAAAAGGAGACACGAGACAGCATTTCATTCCTTATAAATCAGCCTGCCTCCATCCCACCAGCTGGAACTCAGAGCCTGCAGCTCTGACAGAGATAACGAAATCATAACAACATTCGCTCCTCAAGCTCCCTCACAGAGAACCCATCTTATCTAAGGCCCTGTCCAAATGTAGCCAGGGATCTGCCAAAACGTAGATATTTTTCTACGTTTTGGCCTGTCATCCACACAAAAACTGAGTTTTTTCACACGAAAATGGATCTTTTTAAAAACTCCGGCCAAAGTGAAGATCTGCGTTTTCTCCGTTTTGGGTGTCTGCGTGTGGATGGACAAAACCGGAATTTTAAGGTCAGCAACGCCACTTTCCGCGACAAAAAAATGCTGACATCACGTGTGCGACCTGTGTTTACACTAGCTGACAGCATGGATGCTCTTAGAGCTGCGCTCGCTTTATCAATTGTCCAAGCGCTTTCTGCTTGTTTGTTTTTGCAAGCGGAACTACTGCTCCTTGCACAAGACCACAGACGAAGGATGAGGTTAAGAATGGGGGAAGTACTGCCGCCTACAGGTCTGGCATGTCCTTAACAACGTATTTATCCGGGTACGTGTGGACAGAGTTTTTTTTTAAAACGAGGTGGTGTGGATGCAAGTTTTTGGAGGGGCGGATATTCGTTTAAAAAAATGGCTACGTGTGGACTAGGCCTTAGTCTCTTTGCTTCACAGAAGAAAAGAAGATTTTAACCAAGACAAAGACTTTGGAGATGCACTAGTGAAGAACTTGATGATTTGGCAGCTGTCAGAGTCATCCCCATAACTGATTCTAGCTGATAACCTGACAGCCTTTTTCTTTACATTCAGATGACACCGAACTCTTATCCCCAACCTCCAGCTCTGTCTCCATAAGAACCCAGATGTGGCCAAGAGAGTTTCCTATAGCAACATTTACTTAAACAACACTTAACTACAGCTGGAAAAAGAGAGCAAGACAAGGTTGACTGTTCAAAAACAAAGTCAGGCATCCTATTTTATGGTGTTTACACTTTCTGTAGAAAACGTCAGTGCTAGCTGTTTATGGGTTTGAATAAAAAATGCACCATAATAAACATTGTCTTTCAAAGGAGAATTTGTCTTTTTTAGCAAGAAAATCTAGATTTTATGAAGAATAAATCCAATGTTTTCTGAACCTGTACATTTTGTGGTAAATTGTATGGATTAAAATGTATTTTTGTAAATATTTATTCTGTAACATTTTGAATGAGGACGTACAAAACAAATCTCCAATTTTGTGTAAGTATGAATTGGCCTTTTGTTGTACTGACTGAAATATATAAGTTAAAATAACTTCATAAAATTATATGTAACAAATTAGTGTTACAAATAATTTAGTCCAAAGAACAATTGTACGTAATCAAACTATCAGGTGTAATCAATGTGAGACATTTAGTTGAAATTAAATAAAAAATAAAGTGAACTAAAATGAAATAAGTTTAAGGTTTAAATTATATTTTTTTGTTTGTTTCAATATACATTTATTATTCTGGAAGAAAAAATATTTTGACTTAATTTAAATGAAAATATACAATTTCAGTCAAATTGGAATTAAAATGTCATCATAACTAATAAACTGACCTGTAACAAATTACAGAAATTGTTTTAAGTTGGTTCAAAGTAACATGTTTATCAGTGTAGTTTGTTTTGGTCATGTGACACAGAATCCAGTAGTATGGTTTCTTACCCAGTACCGTATATGTGCTATAGGGAAAGCTCGATCGTAACAGACGTTCTCACAGCCAGGCTGCTCTGTGTCACAGTTAAAGTCTTCCTGCTCGTCCCCCCATGAGGACTCGGCCGCTGTCCCGAGTACCAGGATCCGGAAGATAAACAGGACGGTTAGCCACACCTGGAGCCAAAATCAACCCAAAAAACCACATTAAACCCTCTAAAAACAACAACATGATCAAATATGGTAACACAAAATAAGCTTTTCTTTTCCTTCAGTGCTGCTGCAAGTATTAAAAAGACATTAAAATGAGCTAAAGGAGCAAATCAGACACATAGAGAGAATTGGGAACAACAGTGGCAGAGTAATTAAAGGTGCAGTACATTAGAATACAGTGAGAATTTTACAGTGAGAAAACTCCAAAAGAGTCTAATGTTTCAATCATTTTGGAAGGACGGTTATACTGAAATATTTCATATCCAGCTGGCTGCTGGATTGTCATTTGTCTCCTTTCAAAACAAAAGAAGGAGGGATGTAACTGCTGTGTGTGGAAGTGCCGGTGTCAGTACAGGATCTGCTCGGGTGCAGGATCGGCTCGGGGTCCTTCGACTGCAGATGATGTCACATTACTGCGAATCTACTCGGCTTTCACACATACGTTTTGGAAAGACATCAGCAGTTTTGTTAATAAATTCTTGTTTGTTAACACCTAAATGTTTTCTTTATAATTGTAATTAGTTAATAAAACACCGTATTATCTTTGTTTTGTAAAGAATGTGAGACTGCATGAAACCAACATCGGACTGACAAAAAATAGAACAGTTCTTATTTGTGAAGCCACATCTGTTTGTATTAATGTGGAATTCGTCTGTATATTACCTTAGTTGTTATCTAAATACATTATTTGACCCAAAATATTGCTTGGTGTCTTTCCATAAAGTTCTTATAGTTTATTTTGCCCCATTTCATCAACATCAAGAGCTTTTGAGGGCCACCGTTTATCATTTGCTTATATTTTACATTTCCTTTAGAAATTCAAACATATTTTCTCCAAAAAGTGTTGATTTTTGGACTACAGGACTACAACCGCTAAGACTACGACCATAAATTTGTTCTGACCAATCAAAATCATAACGTGATAACGTCACTTCTGTAAGCTTCATGTTCAGCCAATCAACTACTTTGACGTCATCGGCAGTTGAAGGACCCCGAGCCGATCCTGCACCCGAGCAGATCCTGTACAGACACCGTGTCTCCTGAACTCTAACACTGCAGCGCCCACAATTGTAATCTGATGCAGCCGGCAAAAAACTCGAGCTGTTTAAAGTGGTTGCCAGATTAAGTAACCAAATTTTACCACAGGAAGTCATTTTTACTTCATTTCCGCCCCGCAATTGGAAGGTTGCAGGTTAGATCCCCACTCAGTCTGTCACTGTCGTGTTCTTCGGCAAGACACTTAATCCACAATGCCTGCTGGTGGTGGTCGGAGGGACCGGTGACGCCTGTGTATGGCAGCCTCACCTCTGTCAGTGAGTCCCAGGGCAGCTGTGGCTACCATGTAGCTCATCACCACCAGTGTGTGAATGAATGAGTGAATGACTGATTGTGTTGTAAAAGGCCTTGGGGGGTTGTAGGACTCTAGAGCGTGTTACATCAAATACAGGCCATTTACCAATTTATAATTAGAAAAGGACTAAGTTTTTATTTTTTGACTCCGTTTTCAGTGATAACCAGAGAGCTTATTTTACTATTTGAATCAAATGTCGCCAACTTGTTCTTTTATTAAACTAAGACAAACATTTCTGTACTTACTAAACAACTAAGTAATCAGATTAGTTTAAACATAAACCTGACGGCTACAGGAGATGTAAACTTTGTTTTGGGACATAAACATGAGGATGTGGAAAAACATTAAAGTTCTAATATTGGCATGTTCGGAGGAAGTCTGTCTGGTGCCTGATGTGAAATCATATTGTGTGTTTTTGTATGTTTGTGTCATACTTTGCCAACGGAGGTAGAGTGCTCCTGTACTTCCTCCAGAAAGTTTCCCAGAAGGCTCCAGTCTGCCATCCCTGAGTTAAAATCAGCTCAGACTTTTCTTCCACCTGCTGATTGTCTCAGAGCTGCCGACCTCCAGAAAAGAACAACAAAATCCTCTTGAGAAACAAAAGACATGCAGGTTTGAAACTGCAGCAGGGACACCTGGGTAACGCATTCACTTTTAACCCTTGTTAAAAAAAAAAAAGACAAACCAGAAGGAAGTCCAGGTAATGTCTTCACTTCAGTGTCATTTACCTTAGGAGTGTCAATAAACCAGAATAGAGGCCCAATACTAAAAAGCTGAAATGTCATAAAGAGCTTGTTTGACACAGTATTACATTTTTGTGTGTGTGTGTGTGTGTGTGTGTGTGTGTGTGTGTGTGTGTGTGTGTGTGTGTGTGTGTGTGTGTTAGCTTCTACTATCTTGGCCTGGCTCCATCTCCACTACGGATCCTGACCCCATTTATAAAAATGTCTGTGCCCATGTCTCATTTTAGCTCCACTCCCAGTTCCCACACTCCCACTGTGTCTCTGGGGAAGACACACACACACACACACACACACACACACACACACACACACACACACACACACACACACACACACCTGCCCCTATATAATCAGCTGTGGAAGTGTCATTTTTGCACCTAGATGCTGAACTGGTCATTACACAGCACGTCCTGAAAGCTCGTTTGTCCTGACTAAATGTTCTCAGATGAGTCAGTAAAACATAAACTGCTGTACAGTTAAATCGTATGATTTGGACTTATTGTTTCTTGCTCTTATCTTGTTTCCGTATCCGTGACTTGTTTTAATTACCCTTGCTGTCTGCTTCCCCTGCACACCAGCTCCTTGTCTGACGATTGTTCCTCCCTCGGTTCAGATATTTCTAGGTTTTCTTAGCTCTTCCTTGCCTGTTCCCTTTTTTCCTGACTTCGGTTTTTGTTCCCAGCTTTAGTTCAGTTAAGTTATAAACCCATAAAGACATAATTGTTTTAAATAATGTTAAATTGTACTTAATTATCATAAATGGATGAAAGTGAATGTGAGCTGAAGCAGTTTTTACACTCTACATTAGGTAAAGAACGCGACTCTCAAGGTTAAAATCATGAGGCGCTTCCCCAAAACACAAATTTCGAAATGTAAAAAAGATTTTTTTAAATTTTTGAAAAGTATGTTTAAAATGACAAAAAATAAAATAAAATTGTGATTTAAAAAGTAAGGAAAGGGAGAGAGAAAATGAATAGTAAAGAGAGAAATCGGTGGATCCTGAAAAAAGGCAGAATAAGTAGAAAGAGCAGAATAAGGAGAGGATGGTGATGAAGGTCACACCAAAGCCTGAACAAGTGAGTTTTCAGCTGCTTTTTAAAGGAGTCCACTGAGTCCACTGATCTCAGGCTCAGGGGGAGAGAGTTCCAGAGTCTGGGGGCCACAGCAGCAAATGATCTTTGGTCTTTAGCCTGGTGCTGCACAACCAGTAGGCTTTGATCACTGGACCTCAGGGACCTGCTGGGGGTGTAGGGACTAAGAAGATCACCAATGTAAGATGGTGCTTGTCCATGTAAGGCCCTATAGACCAGAACCAGGATCTTGAAATGAACCCTGAAGTTGACTGGCAGCCAGTGAAGCTGGAGGAGAAGCGGGGTGATGTGGGTGTGTTAGGAGGACTTGGTCTGAAGCCGAGCACAGGCATTCTGAACCACCTGTAGACGGTTCAGGGAGGTTCTGCTCAGACAGGCAGTTAACTTTTTAGGCATTTTTGTGTCATTAAATCAGAAATATTTAAAGTCATATGTCGTGGCAAATTGTTAATTTGAGTCTGAAGCTGAAATGTTGTTGTGTAAATAATAGAATAGAATAAAACAGACTTTAGTTATCCACAGCAGGGAAATTCACTTGTTATAACAGCACATATGTACATAGGGCATTAGGCTATTACCGTAACCTTCAGCACTCCCAAAAAAAATAAATAAATAAATAAAAGAGGAAAGCTAAAGTAAAATAGAAAATTGAGTTTCCAAGAAGAAACAGCATGAAAAACAAACAAATGTGCATCCGAGCATTGCATATCAGTGTTTTACACTAAATGAATGGCCGTGGTGTTAACTAGGGTTACTTAATATTAGCTTTTTTATATACGGGTATAGTCTACTCTTAGGTTTGTTTTCTAATATAAACCAATACCCATATATGCAGGGCTCCTCAATTTTATGTTACTAACATCACATATCTCATTTCGTGAATGCTTAATTTGTCCATCCATCCAACATCGTCCACTTATCCATGTAGTAGATCGACCATTAAATGGGCTCAGCTCTCTCTTCACCATGACAGATCAGTACAACGCCCGCATCACTGCAGACGCCGCACCAATCCACCTATCGATCTCACGTTCCATCATTATCTCGCTCGTGAACAAGACCCAGCGATACTAAAACTCCTCCACTTGAGGCAGGAACTCATCCTTGACCTGGAGAAGTTATTCTACCCTTTTCCGACTCAATACCATGGTCTTAGATTTAGAAGAGCTGATTCTCATCCTAGCAGCTTCCCACTCGGCTGTGAACCACTTCCGCAAACGCTGGAGATCACTGATGAAGCCAACAGGACCACATCTTCGGCAAAAAGCAGACACATGATCCTCAGGTCACCAAAACAGATCCCCTCAACACCTTGGCTGCACCTAGAAATCCTGCCCATAAAAGTTATGAACAGAATCGGTAACAAAGGGCGGCCATGGTGGAGTCCAACTCTCAATTGGGACCAAGCTCTTGCACTGGTCACATGGGGTCCTAATGGCCACTATCAGAGGACCTGGTACCCCATACTCCCATAGTAGGGACACAGTCAAATGCTTTCTCCAGATCCAGAAAACAGATGTAGTTTGGTTGGGTGAACTCCCACGCATCCTCTAGGACCCCCCTAAAGATGTTTTTCCAGGAGCACTACTCAGAGCGACTCAGACCGATGCAGGTCGATCCGACCAAGGGCACGCTTCAATATTCTCCCTCTACTTTCTCCAATATTTTTAATCCCTTCTCTGTTGAGGTACCTGGCAAGGCTGAGTCGGGCTGGCATTCTTATTCTGGCCACTGATTGGCTAGGGGGCGGAGTCACTGGTTGCTCTGGAGTTTTTTACCTTGTGTTTCACTGCCTGCAGCCATTTCCTGGTTCAGAGCTTGACAAAAAGCCATAAAACTGAGCTAAATGTCCAGCAACACCAACATTTTTCAGCTGAGTTTTGTTCCTGTGGAGCAAACAAGTTGCTTTACACTGTTTACTGATCCCCTCATGCTACGTTGTCATGAGTAAAAATCTGTCATGGAGCTGGCATGGGAACAAAACTACACTCAGATGAGCTGACTCAAACCACACTGTACAGAGCTGTTTTAGGCTGAGCAGTGTTCCTGGAAAAACACCTAAAGGGTATAAAGCTGGTCCGTCCGGATGGGATGAAAACCACGTTGCTCCTCCTGAATCCGAGGTTTTACAATCCCACGGACCTCCTTCTCCAGAACCCCTGAGTAGACCTTATCAGAGGCTCAGGAGTGTGATCCCCTTGTAGTTGGAGCACACCCTGCTGTCGTCCTTTTAGTATAGGGGGACCACCACCCCGGACTTCCAATCCCGCGGAACTGTCCCCGATGTCCATGAGACATTACAGAATTGCGTTAGCCAACACAGCTCCACAAGATGCCTAACTGTAAACATTTTTTGTAAGAAACGACAACTCCTTCGATTTAAGTTAGTAACAGAAGTGCTATATTTATTTAGTCTTCAACAGCAGCTGAATCTCATTCTCCCTAAATCCAACGCTAATGTGTGTGCATTAGTGAGTAATGTACTTTTTCTTTAGCTGTATATTGCAGTTACATTGATAAATCATTTATAAAGATCTTCACATAAAAAGCAAACCATGCATGAAGATTTTGGTTTTGTTTTAGTTGTTTGTTAGCTGTCTAACTACACATAGCTTTGGTACAGCGTACATGCACTACACAGTAAATTTCTACTTCACAAGTTGTGCCAAATAAACTAAAATATCTCAAAAACTTTACCTCAGTTCTGTCATATCTTGATATGTTAAGAGAGAGTAGACGTAGCTGAAGAGTTTGATGTATAATATTGTATGGTGGGAAAAAGTTGGGTCATCAAAAGACTAAAAATCGATACTGATCATTTCCGATATTAAAGAGCTAGTTTGCAACTTTTTCATATTTTAAATGACTCTCTTGAGCCAGTATGTGCTAAAATGTCCCTTAACAGGGTGTTCCCTTTATGTCTCTGGATCTTGAAAAGAATCCAAGAAAAAGTTGAACTTATACTTTATTTTGACTGAATCTTTATCCAAAATCCCTGAAATGCCCTTCCTTTCTTGTTTGTGCGAAAGCCCAGAACGTTGAACAAGGTGTGTGTGTGTGTGTGTGTGTGTGTGTGTGTGTGTGTGTGTGTGTGTGTGTGTGTCCTCTACAAGTGTTCCCAGCATCATTAATAATGATATTACTTCCCTGTATAGACTTTCTCTTGACCTTTGCCTCAGTGTGTGTCTGAGTGCCACATGAGTGTGTGTTCACCACCAAACACCCTGCATTGTTCTGCATCCTGTCTTAACAAACACACACACACAGACACACACACACACACACACACACACACACACACACACACACACACTACTCTGCTGATTTACAATAAAACTGATAAATCCCTGACATCCCTCAGGCCTGAGGATGTTTTTAGCTGATAAAAATGTATTTATAATATTTCAAAAGTGATAAAGAAACTCAAAGCTCATCAAGAGTGAAAGACTGGGGTTATATTTATCAACTGAGATTTTAGTAAACACAAAATTCTGTCCATTTTATCCTTTCAGTTCTTATGGTGAAGATGAAGGACAGACATTGTGCATAAACACTAAAAAATATCAGTTTTTGTAAAATGCAACAATTCCATCCTCATTCTCCAAATTTTGTGCAGTAGTGTTTCATTTGTGAAAATCTACATTGTTTTGCAGCTTTATGGCGTGTTTTACCTTGCATTTTTCATTAAAAATGTCCTTTTGTTTAAACTGAAAATGATCAGCTGAATTTGACATGATTGCATGGATAAAAAGTGGTTAAATGACAATTGAAAGTTTGTCAGAGTTGGGTTAAGCAATCATTTTCCCAGAATAAACGATCATGTAGAAGATATGTTACCTGGTTTAAAATGCAGATGTGAGCAGCCTGATGGATGCAAACTGTATCAAAAGATTTGAGAAAATGAAGTGCCCCCTTCTTATCTGCAGGTGTTGTTGCCTTTGAGCAAGGCACTCTTCCTTTCAGAGGTGAAGCAAACGGATTGTCAGCAACAGTTGCTTGAGAGAAGTCTAGGCATCTCCTTGTTGCCAGCTGTTTTCAGATCAGCCTGATGAAATAAATCTCAGGAAAAAGGTCTGCTCAGATGTCTAAAGATGAATGAGGACAGTCGAGTCAACAGAGATGGTTCAGCAGCAGACCGATACGAGCAGTTTGGATACAGAAGTCTGGACTGAAAGCAAATGTGAGTCAGACTAGTTTGAACTCCCTTTCCCCTCCTTCTCTCCTTCCCTCCCTGCCTCTTTTTCTTATCCACATCTCCAGAGGAAGTGGGCCTGGTGCCTTGCTGCCTGCTATTCAGACCTAATGTAAGTGCTCATGTTTGTTTGTGGCATCAAGAGGAAGTCACATATTGTATGAAGACACAATAGCTTAAGGCCTCAATCCTGCATGTGTTCATGTATTCTTCTCTATACGTCTTTCTTTGTGATCAAATACCCAAACCCTGAACCACCATTCTCAAAAGAATCTCCAACAGAGTTAGTGTGTCATTTTTTTATTGCACTCTCATTTATAAGGAGCATTTTGTGAAAATGCAGAATTTGGATTAATAACATTTTTTTATGAAACATTAGCAGAGCATGGCATTGCACCTAAGATCCCTCAATAGCTTCTTGATGGCTTTACAATACTGACCAAAGGAGAATCTTGTGAGAATTCAACCCTGAAGGGTGCAGGACGGAGAACAAAGGCAAAAAGAAACGGGGAATGAAGCGAGTGATACAAGTAAAAGAGAGAAAACAGCTGGTGATGTGTGTGTGTGTGTGTGTTTCCTTATTTCCAGGTTCCAGTGTTTTCTATGTCATTTCTGACATATTAGTTAAATTGCACGTAAATAAAATACAAACACATTTATCTAAATTCCTGTTTCTGACATGGTTAAATAGAACATAACTCTATCCATTTCTCTTTGTTTCAGTTTTAGCTACTGACCTAAAAACAAAACAATGGCTCCAGGGTAATGAGAAAAAAGAGCTTTTTTTTTTTTACATTTTTAAAATCTTACAACGTGACAGTTTTTAATGACAGAAGGACCAGATCTTTTCACAAAACTCTGCTAAAGGCTTTTATGATTATGCATGGACATTTCATCAAGGCATGATATTTTATTTCAGACAACTTGTGATAGTTTTGAGCGCACCGTAATTCCCCGCAGGCTGTGATCGGTGTCTTTTAACTTTATGACCTAGAGCTGTGCTGTGACCGTGTGACTAAAAACACCAGAGCACATCAAGTTCTTGGTTTTCCACTGAAGTCCTTTTTGATATGAGTGTCTGAAATGTGATTAAGTTGTTGTTATAGTTGTAACAACTGGATTCACTTGTTTTATAAGAAATTCATGCTATTCAGCTAATAGTATTGAATTTCATGAATCTGTCAAAAACCCAATCTGTGAAATGGAACTAAAGCTAATTTAGTGTCAATAAAACACTCGTGATTTGCCAAGAATAAAACCTCATTTTAACATTAGAAAAAAATGCCTTATGATCTGTTGTCTCAAAATACACAACATGAGTTAAGAATACATATAAGAAATAACAAAATAGTTTTAACAAATTAACATTTGTGAGTGCAAATTTGACTTTTAGTTTTGTGCATTTTTACAGGGAATTATTACTATGGCAATAATGTCAAAATAACAGTCCTGCCTTTGTTACCTTTTTTCCTAATGAAAAATTCTTTACCATCACTGTTTCTCCTGCACTTGGCTGGAAGATGAAGTTTGAAGCACATACGCTTCTGTCTCTTCTTCAGAAAACTGTTTTAGTCATAAAACTTTAAAATTGGGTTCACTGAAACCCCTTTTTTATGATTGTTTCTGTTTATAATCAGTCACTTAGAGTTTTTAATGCAGGCTGAAAATGAAAACAGTCTCCTACACCTATTTCCTGCATTAGCTTCTGATAGAAAATAGATGGTGAGACTCTAGGATTTGAAAAGCCTGACAGATCTACGTCACACTGTCACGTAACATTTATGGACTCACTGATCTTTGCTCACGACCAGGAAGGTTGTTGTTGGTTTAGCGTCCAGGAAATGGCAAACGTCCAGACTAGCAACACCGCCACACAGAAAAACTTCTTGTGTCACATGTGCCGGTGAAAGAAGCTGAGGAGAGGCGAGGCTCCAGACCGGGGAGGAAACAGGCAGACAGGTTGGATTCTTAACACTGACCAGGGGCGGCGTTAGGCCCGGCTACTTGGGCTGAAGCCCCGGATGTTTCATGGAAAGCCCCGGATCTAAATCGCGGAAGTAACATGCAGTACCAAAGTCCAACAGAGAGGGAGCAGCTGGCAGTAGTTTGTATACAGCTGCCTGAGCCTCCACCACTGAAGAAGAAGCCCTTCAGCAGCCGGCTTCTTCTGCACTCACTGCCTGAAACGCATGCGTGAAGATGGACATAAGGACGTTTTTTAGACCAAAAGTACGGCGACAGAACCCCAGCTTTGATGAGACTGGTGTTGACTCAGGTTTGTGAGTCTTATTTGAAAATATTTGTTGTGCTGCTGGTTTGCCTAAAGTTAGCTTACTATCAGGTAAAGTTGTTGGAGAAAGAAAGGGAATATTTACTATCATCTCACACTAAACACTAACAGGAAAAATACTCTGCCCTGAAAATGCTTAATATGTAGCTTCAGATTAAAAATTATGTGGTACAAGACATATATGATGTTGACTAGTGCGCGTCACGTGTGTGTGTGTGTGTGTGTGTGTGTGTGTGTGTGCGCGCGCGCGTGTGTGTGTGCGTGTGTTAAGCCCCGGATGTTCTTCAGTCCTTAATCCGCCCCTGACACTGACTTTAATCTGAGACACACTGGACACTGAAACAATGGACCGACACAAGACAGAGAACAGAAGGGGCTTAAATACACGAGGGCAGGGAGCTAAGGTGATTGGAATACGAGAGGCAGGTGGGAGCAATTAACGAGACACAAGGCTGAACCAAAACGGGGAGACAGGACAGGGTGTGACAGTACCCCCTCCCCCCCTCATAGGGCGGATCCCAGACGCCCACAGGAACAAGGAGCAGGGCGGGAGGAGGGGTACCCGGAGGGAGGGCCAAGAGGAACAGAGGGACCAACGGAGAGGAGGCAGGGACCAGCTGAGTCCGGGGGCCTGCGCCTGGGGCAGAGGAGGAGGAGACGACGGGCTCTTGGAGGCCTGCGCCTGGGGCAGAGGAGGAGGCGACGGGCCCTTGGAGGCCTGCGTCTGCGGCAGAGGAGGAGGCGACGGGCCCTTGGAGGCCTGCGTCTGCGGCAGAGGAGGAGGCGACGGGTTCTTGGGGGCTTGCGTCTGTGGCAGAGAAGGCGGCGACGACGGGCTCTTGGGGGCCTGCGTTTACGGTAGAGGAGCTCTTCAGGCTGGACCGGGGATGAAGTCTCTGCAGGCTGGGCCGGTGACAAAGTCTCTGCAGGCTGGGGCGGTGACAAAGTCTCTGCAGGCTGGGCCAGTGACAAAGTGTCTGCAGGCTGGGCCGGTGACAAAGTCTCTGCAGGTTTGACCGGGGACAAAGTCTCTGCAGGCTGGACCAGGGACAAGGTCTCTGCAGGCTGGACCGGGGACAAGGTCTCTGCAGGCTGGACCGGGGACAAGGTCTCTGCAGGCTGGACTGGGGACAAAGTCTCTGCAGGCTGGACCGGGGACAAAGTCCCTGCAGGCTGGACCGGGGAAAAAATTTCTGCAGGCTGGACCGGGGACAAAGTCTCTGCAGGCTGGACCGGAGCCTCATGGAAGGGCTGGACTTGATACGGTGCGACCTCGGGAACCACCACTGGAACCGGAGATGGCGTCGGCCACAGGTCTGGAGACGGCGGAGACGTCGGACCAGAGGGAGCGTCGATCTCTGGAGTGGAAAGAGCGTTGACCTCTGGAGTGGAGAGAGCGTCAACCTCTGGAGTGGAGAGAGCGTCGACCTCTGGAGTGGAGAGAGCGTCTACCTCTGGACTGGATGAGGCGTTTACTTCGGATGAGGCATCGACTTCAGATGAGGCGTCGACTTCAGATGAGGCGTCGACTTCGGATGAGGCGTCGACTTCGGATGAGGCATCTACTTCAGAGGAGGCGTCGACCCTTGGACAGGAAGAGGCGTCGACCCTTGGACAGGAAGAGGCGTCGACCCTTGGACAGGAAGAGGTGTCGACCCTTGGACAGGAAGAGGCGTCGACCCTTGGACAGGAAGAGGCGTCGACCCTTGGACTGGAAGAGGCGTCGACCCTTGGACTGGAAGAAGCGTCAACTTCAGACCACGAGGAGGCGTCGACTTCAGAACATGAGGAGGCGTCAACTTCAGAACACGAGGGGGCGTCGACTTCAGAACACGAGGGGGCGTCGACTTCAGAACACGAGGAGGCGTTGACTTCAGAACACGAGGAGGCGTCGACTTCAGAACTGGAAGAGGCGTCAACTTCAGAACTGGAAGAGGCGTCGACCACAGGACAGGACTGGGCGTCGACCACAGGACAGGACTGGGCGTCGACCACCATCGACTTCTCGTCCGGAGGCATCGGCTTCTGGTCCGGGAGCGTCAACTTCTGGTCCTTCGACTTGTGGACCGTCGACCTCTGGGCCGCCGGCCTCTGGACCGGTACCAGAACCATCCGCTTCTGGTCCGGGGACGTCTGGCTCTGGTTCGGGGGTGTCGGCTTCTGGTCCAGGGGCATCGGCTTCTGGTTCGGGGGCGTCGGCTTCTGGTTCTTCGACTTCTGGACCGTCGACTTCTGGACCACCGGCCACTAGACCGGAACCGTCTGCTTCTGGTCCGGGGGTGTCGGCTTCTGGTCCTTCGACTTCTGGACCGTCGACTTCTGGACCGCCGACTTTTGGACCGCCGACTTTTGGACCGGAACCGGAACCGTCTGCTTCTGGGCCGGTACCATCTGCTTCTGGGCCGGTACCATCTGCTTCTGGGCCAGTTCCGTCTGCTTCTGGGCTGGTACCGTCTGCTTCTGGGCTGGTACCGTCAGCTTCTGGGCCCGACCCGTCTGCTTCTGGGCCGGATCCGTTGACGTCTGGAGTGGAGGTGGAGCAGCTGCGGGAGGGGCTGCCTGGACAGGCTGCGTGTGACCTGGCGGTACTAGGAACGGAGAGAGCAGGGAGGACAAACCGTCCAGCTGAAGCTCCCGGAGGCTGAGGGCCCGATGGAGCTGGGCCAGCTCAGCCCGGAGACCGGCGAGCTCTGCTGGGTGTGATGAGGAGGACAGAGCGTCCAAGCGGGAT